TAAAATAAAGGTTTCCATAAAGTGAAGCATTTCTTACAAATAATTCATCAAAAGAACTAGGCAATAGAGAATGATTGAACAAATGCATAAATTGAAGTTTTTGCTGTAAGATCAGCTCAGGTAAAGGTAAAATACCTGTGCTATAAAATAAAGGCTGTGTATGAGCATTATATTTAGACTTGGTTATCAATCTAATAGCTAATTTTTGTTTCTTAAATAAAAGATTTACATTTTTCTGGCTAGTACAAGATATAATTGGTAAACAATACAAGAAATGAGGATGAATAGTAAAGATATTCAAGGGCTGATGAAGTCAATTTATGTTTAGCATTTTTTAATGAGAACAAAGACTTTGAAACTTTTGATGTAATAGATTTAAAATGGAAGTCAAAAGCCAAATTCTCATCAAGATAAACACCAAGGATTTTAAATGCTGGAACTTTCGATTTATTAGTAATTCTTTCAATAGGAAATACAAGTGAAGGGTTAGAAAGAGTATCAGAATCATTGTTATCAAATTTGAAGATGACATCAGGAACATGCTTTCCTTTGGAGTGAAATATCATAATTTTAGTTTTGTCAGTATTGATGGAAAGCTTATTAGCACGAAGCCAGACTCCAAGTTTTTGAAGTTCAATATTGACAAAATTGCAAATAAAATGTATATGAGAACCCCTGCAAAGAGCTGAGGTATCATCTGCAAATAAAAAATTCAAAAGAGAATTTGATTTAAACATATCATTTATAAAACATAGAAACAGAAGAGGGCCAAGAATACTCCCCTGGGGGACACCAATGTTTAAAAGTTTAAAAAATTCCGAAAAGGCTCCATTAATCATTACAAACTGTTTTCTATTTTTCAAATAACTTTCAAACCATTTTAACGGTCTTTCCCCGAACCCCCATTTTCTTCAATTTCAAAAGTAAAATATCATGGTTTACCAAATCAAATGCTTTTTGCAGATCTAAGAAAACTGCTACAACAATGTCATTATCATTTAAAGCTTTAAAAATAAAATCAACGATATGAAGAAGTGGATGAAGAGTAGATCTACCAGATTGAAATCCATATTGATGTTTATAAAGAAGATGGTTAGTGTCAAGATATTCATATAAGCGTTTAGTAACAAACTTTTCAATTATTTTGCTAAAAATTGGCAAGCATGAAATTGGACGATAATTATTTAAAATATCTTTTTTCCCAGCCTTATAAACAGGTACTGTTCGAGATACTTTTAATTTAGAGGGAAAAACACCAGTTTTAAATGATAGATTAAATATGAATGCCAATGGTTTAGCTGGACATTTAGATATATTTTTCAGAAATGAAGAGCTTAGATTATAAATATCTTGAGTATCTTTAGATTCTAAACTGTTTATTAACTCTTCAATGATTAAAATATCACATTCACCAATTTCAAAAGACGTTTCAGAGTCTGAAAGATAACTGGAGGCTAAAACACAAGTTTCCGGAATACTTTCACTAATTTTAGTAGGAATTTCAGAGAAATAAGAGTTAAAAGCATTTGCTATCTTAGGCGAGTCAGTTACTACTTCATCAGTCAAGGTTATTTTATCAAAATTATCGGATTTCCAAACCTTTTTAGGGTTATTCTTATGATCATTTAGATTTGTTTCAAAATATGCCTTTTTACTTATTCTAGCCAAATTATTGTACATGTTTCTATATTTCTTGTAAATATTCTTATTTTCAGCAGAAGGGCACGAAACAGAAACAGTAAGCAATCTGAGTTTATTTCTACGAGAGGTTAAGAGACCCTTTGTCATAAATCCTTGAATTTTATGGAAATTTCTATTAAAAACCACACGACAAATAGGAAAGTGTAAATTAAACAGGGCAATAAAAGAATCCCAGAAACTGTCAAAGGCCATTTCAGCATCGTCTATTTCAAACAAATGATCCCAGCTAAAATTGTTTAAGTTATTTTTAAACATAGCAATATTCTGATCATTAAATTTCCAAGACGTCTTTAACTTTGGCTTCTGGATACTTTTAGAAGAATTAAATGAGGAAAAGGTGAAGAAATGGTCAGAGATATCATTCAAAATTACACCAGACATATATTTTGAGCCATTTGAATTAGTAAATATTTGATCAATCAAAGAAAACCTGTTTTGAGATGTTCTTGTAGCTTTAGTCACAATATTAAGAAACCCATTACTTAAACATGATTCAAGAAGATTTAAACTAGCTGGATTTCCAGAAATATTTAATAAATTAATATTACTATCCATGAGAATATAAGTTTCAGTAGCGTCCAAGGAAAGTCTAGATAATAAAGAGGTAAATTCAATAAAAAAGCAGCTGATTGATCAGATTGACTGAGGAAGGGATGGTTCCCTGGAGGTCTGTAAATATTAACAAAACGATTTTTTTTGCCAGCTTTAAACTCAACATCAATACAAATAGATTCAAAGATTCTCTCATGAAAAGCTGAAAAATCATTATTGATATAGTAGTTAAGTCCAGATTTTACATAAAAACCCACACCCCCCACCTCTACTTTTGTCTCTTACTTTGAAAATCAATTTTTGAAAACCAGGCAGATCATAAAGATCAACATCATGAACAGACCAAATTTCTTGCAAGGATATAATCTCAACGGGAATATCATTAGTGCCAAGAGAAACAACAAAATCTCTAAGTTCGTTATATTTGCTTTGTAGACTTTGAATATTTGCATTCAATATAATTGAATCTCTATAAGAATTGAACTTATTAAGAAAATTTAATTCGTCATAAAATAGACAGTTTAGGTCAGAATCAATGTAGGGATCATGAAAGGGTAAATCAAAGTGCGCACAGTTTTAGCCTTGTAAAAATAAATTGGCTGATCATCTTCAGACCTACGAAACTGCGCGTATAATACACACTGTATTACACACACTGAACAGACGTTATTACGCATGCGCATTCAGTGGCCCATATCCCTCGAAATCTCGAGACGTTTCAAACTCAAGAATCTGCGCGTATTTGTCATATACTCTTATACACCTGTATTCTATTAAAGTATAATTACATCGTATAGAAAAAAATACTTTAAAATCTCACTTTTGCCCTTAACTAAAAACGTTTCATTAAAACAGCTTTAATCTATACTGCCTTCAGTGTAAATTTATATTTGATATCATAAATTATAATACAATATGTATAAATCCTATGAAAATATAGATAATGTTTTAGAAACATTTCCATATATATTTTTCATCTCTTGAAGCTTACACCACACTATTAAGAGGGATTACCTGATTTTGTGCCGCCCCCCCCCTGGCAACATTGTCCCCCCCCCCTCTTAACAAAATTACAAGAATAATTTATCATAACGCTTGAAATATGGAAGTGTGCATATGATAGAATAGTTTACATAGTTAAAGAAGGTATCAACATTTTTTCAAAAAAGGGGTGTTAAGGAGGGGCACAAATTTTTTTTTGCGCGCTTGTGACCCCCTTACACAAATTCTCTCGTACGCCCCTGATTTTCATTTATCTTCTGTTATACTGCATAATTGTTATAACTTATCTTCATGCTCATCTTAGTTTCTATCATTTTCCACTTATTTTACCGTCCAAACTTTCCTCTAGTAATATTCTATTCCCTTTTTTTGTTTGTTTCTATCTTTTTCTCAGCTCTTCTAATATTGATATCCAACTAAACATAACAATTGAGAGACAATTTGACTGCCGATATAATTTTATTTCTATCATTTTCCTCTTTTAATCTTCTGATTTCTTTTTCTTTTCCTTTCCTATCTTTTTTCTTCCAATATCCCTATATCTTTGCAACACTATGACTTTTTATTTTTCAAACTATGAATTCTGTTTAATAAAGTATGGTGCAAAGATATAGGGATTAGATAGTTTTAGTTTGTGGAAAAAATTGGTATTCTTTATATATACTTTGTTTGTTTGTCTTTCTGTTTTTATCCAATGAACGTCCAAACGGCTGAACCGATCAAACCACAATTTTTGTCTAGGACATCGTTGGACCCCAGGGAAGGTTTATGGATGATCGAATTTTTAAAATTTTGCCTCTAACAAAATTTAATTTTCATAAAAATAAATTTTTTTTGGAAAATACACCAATTTTTTTTATGAAATCTGCACAAACTATTTTGTTTTATTTTACAATATACACAAATAAAACATGTTCATAAATGAAAGAAAATACTAAACTTCAGTTGATTTAAGTGCCAGAGACCAAATTTTGGAAGTTTGAGCCAGGTCTAGAACTGGTTGAACTACCTGCCACTGGTCAAAATTTGAGTCATTGATTCAAATCATTCCTTTTATCTTTAACTTAACAGTGGTGGTTCAAATTAGAATTTTGTATTTTCTAATTGTGATACTTATCCATTATATCTATATATAGCTTGTCTGTATGTTTATTTGTATCCAATAAACCCCAAAACGGCTGAACCGATTGGGCCCAAATTTTTTGTGGGATCTCGCGTGACCCCAAAGAAGATTAATGAATTAAAAATTTAAGATTTAAAAAAATTGGGTTTAAAAGTGTTTTATTTTTGTGAAAAATTTTAAAATTTTGAATTTCAGCAAATTTTTTTATGAAAAGCCAAATTTGATACGTTTTTGGAAACCCACGCGCAAGTTCGGGCCTTCAAACACGATGTCCAGAATATTTTTCAAAGCTTGAAAACACTGCGCGTTTGTGCATGCACAAATTCACACAGATTTCAGCTACGAGAAGAAAATTAGAGTATAAGTTTTTATATTATAAACTATATATTTTTCTCTACGCGCAGATTCTTTGTTCATAGACACGCGCAAGTTCGTGCCTTCAAACACGGTGTCATAATCTCAAAATATTTGACATTTACTTAGTAGCAACGCACACACCTCAACTCGATGACCCCATTTTTTTTATTTTGGGGCAAGAAACATCTATAGAGTCAGGATTGGTTCTGATTCGACCAATGAGAGACTGTTTTGCAAGCTTTCTCTCTGTAGCAGACAGAATGCCTTCAGATCAGCTGTGACAAGGAGATGTAAACTTCGAAAATACAAACTTTATGGTGATACGTTATTTTCTTAGTATGCTTATTTTATATATTTAATAAAATTTGACACCTGAAGTCAAAAGTTTTGTGTAAACTGGCGGAAAAGCGCTTTATATTTATATCCAATGTGAAAACTTTGCAGGGTACTATCATTCCAGGAAAATTAATTCATAAGTCTTCTCAATATGGAGATCAATGCTTAATTCCAAGATTCACAAAATTCTGACTTTTATGTTAATATTTGTAGTCCAGCAACAATTGATGTACTGCCCAGTATACGAGCTGCTGTTGGACCAGACATAGAGATTATACTGGATGGAGGAGTACAACGAGGCACGGATATAGCTAAGGTAGGTGGGTTGGTCGCTTGGTTGATATGATTGCTTGATAGGCATAGGTATGTAAGTATGTAGGTAGGTCGGTCAAGCGGTTGGTCAGTTGGGTTTGTGCCAATCTATCAATAAATAGATAGGTATTAAAGCATGTATAGATAAATAGATCGATATATAGGAAGGTAATAGGAAGGTAGATAATAATATAGATAAAAAGGTAGGAAATAAGGTAGATAGGAAAGTAGATAGGAAAGTAGATAGGAAAGTAGATAGGAAAGTAGATAGGAAAGTAGATAGGAAGGTAGGTAGAAAGGTAGATTGGATCTGGTAGATAGGAAAGGTAGATACAAAGGTAGAAAGGATCTGGTGAATAGGAAAGTAAAGAGGAAGGTAGATAGGAAAACAGATGGGAAGATAGCTGAAAGGATGAATCTGTAGATGGATGGATAGATGAAAGATATATTGGTAGCTCTCATGTCTAATACACTTGTCGGAATTTCAATAAATATGAATTATATTTCCCCATCATTCTTTGGCCTTTATCTTCCATTTTAATATCAGATACAGGGCTACCCAGTACACATAGGATAAAAATGTTATGACGACCTATAACTCTGAAAACATGAACATTTAAAGTTTTATTAATGCCCTCTGTGTACAATTCTATCCGGGTGGTATGGCACCTTTAAAAAAAGTATTTATTTGCCATTAATGTTAGTTCATACAAGCAGTAGTATAAACATACCATTTAGGTGACTAAATTATGATTATAGTTGATATCATTATCTAAACCGATATTTCAATCAATCTGGTTAAAGGGACTGTAAACGATATTTCAATTAATCAGGTTAAAGGGACTGTAAACTAGGGCGGGGCACGTTCCGACTTTTTTAAAATCGTTCCGTTCCGTTCTAGAACGAGGGCCTTCAGCTAAATCGATCCGTTCTTGTTCCTTTATTATCGTTCCGTTCTCGTTCCGTCCCGTTCCGTTCCGTTCTGTTCTGAGTTGAAGAACGGTCTTCCCGTTCCGTTCCATTCTTGGCGTTCTTATTTAAAGAACGGTTCCATCCCTCTCATTCCGTTCTTAGTCAAAGAACGTTTCCATCCCCATTGCCATTTCAGTAGAAAGATCAGCTGAATATGGAAAACTTTAATTTGACTTAAATGCACAACGCCCTCTGAATTTCTAATCCCTGATATTTGCCTTGTATTTGAAGTTTAGGTGCAGAGATAGATGAATCTGGAAAGTTGCTCCCACCGGATCCTGTGCAATGTGCAATAAAATAACACTTGTGCAAAACGTGCAAATTTTCTGCACATATATTGTTGATTAATACGAGGAATTGAGTCATGGTCACTAGCTTAAATTTATCATCACTATAACTTTGCAACCTGATGGTGTAAGCCTTCGATATTTTAAACTTAGATCATTAGATCCAACAGAATTCAAAGTTTGAAATATCTAAGGTCAACAACATAGGATTGCAAAGATATAGGGCCAGGGGTCAGGTTATTAAATCAAAAAATCTTTAACTATCTCTAGATGATTAAGAACACATTCCTGATTTAAAATGCGTTCCCAACTTAGAACGCGTTCTTGATAATAAGAACGCGTTAACGATTTTAACCGTTCTTTTCAAACAATTCCCTTTCCGTTCCGTTCCATTCTTTTACTAATCGTTCCAATATTTATAAGAACGCGTTCTAAGTGTTAGTTTTTTTGGAAGTGGGATCGCTTTTGATCGTTCCGTTTGTTCTCAGGAAAGAACGATTGTTCCACCAGGAACGAGCCCAGCCCTACTGTAAACGATATTTCAATAAATCAGGTTAAGGGGACTGTAAACTATATTTCAATCAATCTGGTTAAAGGGACTGTAAACGATATTTCAATAAATCAGGTTAAAGGGACTGTAAACGATATTTCAATCAATCCGGTTAAAGGGACTGTAAACGATATTTCAATAATAGTGAGGTATTGTTAAGTGGTATGTATTAGTTCACAACAGAAAATTGTTGAAAACACCGACTCTGGTTAAACAGCTGAATTTGCATGGGGCTTATAGGCTAGCAAGTGCAGAGTAGGAACATACTTGCAGCCATTTTACGACCTTCATTTAGAGTACCAAGAGTACCATGAGATCCATAAATCTGTAGAAAAGGAAGACAACATCAAGTGTTCTTTTAAACTATGCTAAAAAGCAAATAGTTTTACCACTAGCTTGAAAACAACTTGTAGAAAGGGTCTGTATTTGTTTCATGTTCAATGGACTATTTAAAATCATAACTTGAGTTTAAAAGTCACTTTTTTCTCAGTTTTACTGGTGTAAAGGAATTTACTTTTTAATATCAGGGACTTGCTCTGGGTGCAGATGGTGTAGGTATTGGTAAACCTTATCTATATGGACTGGCTGCTGGAGGAACAGAAGGCGTGAATAAAGTTATGAACATTTTAAGGTACAAATTTAATTTTATAAATGAATTAAGACTTGTAGAATATGAAATCAGGTGTAAATCGAAAGGGAACCCAATATGGAACCCCCAGACTGCCTTCAGAGTGCAATGCACCACTGTGTTATAATGGCATGGAGTACATGCCAGGCAGGAGCACAAATTTATAATGCCCGTGCAATAACAGAGCTTTAATTAAACTGTAAAACTTAAATGTTCATTTAATACTTCCTCCATGGGGAAAATGCCGTTTTTCCTTCATAGGGAAGATGCCACTTGGGAAATTGTCATTTGGGAAAATGTACATTTGGGAAGTTGCGGCTTGGGAAATTGCACATTTAGGTAGTTGCCGCTTGGGAAATTGTAACTTAGGAAGTTGGCCTAAGGAAAATGCCTACTAAAAAGTACCTAACATCATTTAATATATCCCATTACTAATATTTTTTTACATAAAGCAAGGTTAATGGTTTTATTAGAATATTCTGGTTTGTGCCAGCTGTTGTGGAATTGCTGTGGGCTAGTAGACGGTTTAATTAGAATATTCTGGTTTGTGCCAGCTGTTGTGGAATTGGCTAGTAAATGGTTTTATTAGAATACTAGAAATTCAAGGCGCTTCGCGCCCTTCTTTCTAGGCTTTTAGGGCGCTTCGGGCCCAATCTTCTATTTAAATTTTGAACATGTTCTTTTTGTTTACATTTCAAAACAAAGATGAAAAAAGTTTTGCGGATTTTTAAAAAAAATTCGCGGATTTTCAAAAATTTCAATTTTTTTTACAAAATTAAACACCTCTAAAACACAATTTTTTAAAATTTCAATCATTCATAAACCTTCCCTGGGGTCCCAAGATGTCCCACAAAAATTTGGGCCCGATCGGTTCAGCCGTTTTGACGTTTATTGGATACAAACAGACAGACAGACAAACAGACAAGCCAAATTCTGGTTTGTGCCAGCTGTCGTGGAATTGCTGGAGGCTAGTAAATGTCAGAGGACTTAGTGCTTTTGCTAAGACAGACTAGACAAGAATCTTTGAAGGGAAAGATGTTTAAAAGGGAAATGTGGTTAAAATAACTTACAGCATACATGACAATACATTAAAATAATGTTTTGGTCTCAGTAATTTTGGCCAAAAGCTAACTTTTTGTTGACTTACATATTTATTTTAACTATAGTCCCCAGTTCTTCAAAAAAATATCTCAACTGTGTTTTATAGATAAACCATGTTTTTTCAAATTATTAAACTATTCTGTATACTGAAACTCAAACATATTCTCTTATCTGTCATATTCGAGAGGTATTTGAGGATCAAAGCCCTAGGCTTAGAAATTTAATTAGTATCATAGAATTATTAATTTAGTTATCACTAAACTTTAGCTTAATCAAAAGTTTAGTAAGCTCAGCCTTGAAGGAGAGTTTAAAACTAAAATTATGGCAGAGTGTATTCTTTTGCGAGATAACCAGTTCCAACCTACCTTTTCTTCTAGCAGGGTTGTACATTTTTTTGAGTTAACCAGTTCCAACCTACTTTTCCTCTAGCAGGGTGTATACTTTTGTGAGATAACCAGTTCCAACCTACCTTTCCTCTAGCAGGGGTGTATACTTTTTGAGTTAACCAGTTCCAACCTACCTTCCCTCTAGCAGGGTTGTATACTTTTTTGAATTAACCAGTTCCAACCTACCTTCCCTCCAGCAGGGTTGTATACTTTTTTGAGTTAATCAATTCCAACCTACCTTCCCTCTAGCAGGGTTGTATACTTTTTTTGAATTAACCAGTTCCAACCTACCTTCCCTCCAGCAGGGTTGTATACTTTTTTGAGTTAACCAGTTCCGACCTACCTTTCCTCTAGCAGGGGTGTATACTTTTTTGAGTTAACCAGTTCCAACCTACCTTTCCTTTAGCAGGGGTGTTTACCTTCTTGAGTTAACTAGTTCCAATCTACCTTTTCTCTAGCAGGGTTGTATACTTTTTTGAGTTAACCAGTTCCAACCTTCTGTTTCACTAGCAGGGGTGTATACATTCTGGAGTTAATCAGTTCCAACCTCCCATTCCACTAGCAGGGGTTTATATTTCTTGAGTTAACCATGTGAAAACACCCTTCCTACTGGTAGAAGTGTTTACTTTCTTGAGTTAGCTAGTTCAACTTTCCTCCACACTACCAGCTGGGTATATTATTTACTTCCAGAGTTAGATAGTTCCAATTTCCCTTCCAATGGCAGGGGTATAGACTTTTCAGATTTTAGTTCCAACTTCCCTCCCAATGGCAGGGGTATAGACTTTTCAGATTTTAGTTTCAACTTCCCTCCCAATGGCAGGGGTATAGACTTTTCAGATTTTAGTTTCAACTTCCCTCCCAATGGCAGGGGTATAGACTTTTCAGATTTTAGTTTCAACTTCGCTCCCAATGGCAGGGGTTTTTACTTTTCAGAGTTAGCTAGTTCCAACTTACCCTCCCCACCACACTATCTTTGGTATACTATCCTGGTTTAGCATGGTTTAGATTTGGTCTTTCAGAACCAAAAGCAAATGTGAGTAAATTTAACCACCTCTACTCTATGATAATTTTAGAGTGTAATCAAGCTGAGACAACCTCTGACCATTTCTTTAAAACATGATTTTCCAGTTTCTTTATTTAAAGCAAGATCTGGGATGTAAATATAAAGTAGTACGTCTACGGACCAATGATGAAGAGAACTTCTTAGGTGAAGCTAATAATATAATATTGTACAGAAATTTTCATAAGTTATATATGTTTTATTTTCCCAATTTATGGATCCTACTGCAATGTTTAAAAACAGATGCTAAATATGCCCTACTCTATTCAAGGTCATATAATCTTGAGTTTTAACAAATTTGATTCAACAATGTTGAACTATGAACATTCTGCTTTGATGATATTAAGGGCCCATGGGGCTGAGAAGTTCTAAATTAGGTAAACTTGATCAAGGAATTATGATTACAGAAAACAAAGAAATAATAATAGTAATTTTCCCAAAGATCAATATCAAAATATACGGCAATATAAAACCAGTTAAATTAAACAGGATAAAAATTTACAATTTCTTTCTGTAGCTATTAAGAATCAAGAATCATTACAAACTTTTATAAATCCGCATTTCAAATAAATCTACCCCCTTGATGCGAAATACTGAAAAGGTTCCCCTGAGGATTGTTCATTATTTGATCCCGAATAATAGTTGAATAAATTGTTTCAGTATGTCATGATTTTGCACCTAGCTCTTTATAGCATTTTAGGATCATAGATTTATTATTAATTGGGTTAAAATAGGTTCCAAAAGTTTTTCATGATTTATTAATCTCAACACCTTCAGGATAGGTGAGAACTTTACAGAACCAAATTGATCTGGAAGAAATTTGAGACCCTGAATGGAATTATCTTAGAATTTTTCTATTTGTTCTCGGGCTATTGTAAATTAGTAGTTGCATGAAATATTGAACTAGAACACAAGAATAATGTTTAATAACACGCTACAGGACTTTAAGAACAATTTTTTTCTTTCGTTTTCCATTGAAAACAGCGCACAGTGCCCTTAAAAGCTTATTTGATCTAATAAGTTGAAAAGTGAATATTTTCATTTGTGATTTTTCTCCAAATTTATTTGGACATTTCTTGCTTCAGAAATAATGGTAAAATTATCAGAATTAGCACTTTGGAAGCTATATTGAATGGAGGGTCACTTGAAATTAAACTAGCAGTCCCTTTAAGGTATGTTAAATAGGGTTTCAAAGTAAAAACAAGTAAAAAGTTGTAAAGAACTAGGATGTAAGAAAAAGCCTGAAAAACCCTGTACACTGGCAACCATAGGAGTATTTCTTAAAGTGGCTGTACATGTAATTTCCAGTGACAATTCAATTATAGCAATGCCCGATTTACAACGGTTCCATTAAAACCTTTATCTGATCATGATATTGTGGAAAATATTGTCGTTTTAAAGATTTCAAAGTTTTTATTTCTAATAATTCCAGTATGTTTTCCTGCTGTAGAAATGCGCCAGTCGTTGCAGAGAAACCACGATGAAAATGATCAGCTTTAAGAATAAAACATTTATATCTAATTCATACTTGATCATAGAAAGCTTTTAAAGGTACTATTGTGAATCAGGCATTGTCATTTTTGCCTTTAATCCCCTTATCTATCACAGGATTGAGTTGGATCGTGCAATGGGACTGCTCGGCGCTGGAAGTGTCGCGGAGCTAAAAAAGCGTGGCTCAGAGCTAATCAAACAAAGAGAAGGCTCGGGCAGAGACTGTAGTGGGGCTCGCGGTAGCAAAGCTGGAATCATTTAAATTTTATTTTTTTGTTAAATTTGCATTTCATTAAGAGGGAAAACAAAGTTATGCATAATATTCATTTAAATTTCAACAAAAATTGTAAGAATAAATTTATTTTAAAAATAAATTAGCAAACACTAAGCTTAAATTTTTAGTTTAATGTTGTCAATTTTAATCATGAATATTTTAATATTGAAATTATATCTGCCAAAGGAATTGAGTTTTTGCCACAAACTCAAATCTTCTAATCCCTTTATCTTTGCACCCTGATCTTGTAAACCTTTGATATTTCAATCTTTTATTATATGAGTGAAATATCTAAAACGTACGACATTGGGTTGCAAAGATTGAAGGATTAAATAATTAAATTTTTTGTCAATTTGAAAATTCAACACACAGAGAAAACATCAGATTTTATTTATATTTCAACTAAAATACATTTCACAGCGGTTTGAATTTATAGACAAGAATAAGTAGTCGAACTAATTAGTTCAATACATAACCACTTATATACACAAATTCCAAACATGATTGACAAACAAATAGATTAATATACAAGAAGATATAAAAGGATGGAGAAGGATAGAGTTTGTATAAATTACACAGTTAGGTAATAAGGTAACACAGGAACTAGTTTGCCTGGAAAATAATAGTCGGCTTAGAATTTCTAAACCAGGCTAAGAACATACCCGTGGTTCTACTGAGCTCCCCAATCAAAATTTGAGGCAAATCGGTTCGAGGTTCCTGATTTATGGTCGGATATCCAAACATACAGGCAGACAGATAAACAGGAATACCGAGCCTTGTTTACAACATTTGTTATGGTTTACTTGTTCCTGAACTGTCCTATCACGCAATAGTAAAATTTAAAGAATCCCTCTCTCCTTAGTTTTATTCTCATTGGAGAGATAGATAGATAGATAGATAGATAGATAGTAGGACAATAGAACTTTATCACTGAGTAAATCACAGGACGGTAAAAAGAATATTTACTGAAAAACGAACATTTATCCAAAAATAGCAATCCTAATTTTTAATTTGGATTACTGTTGCCCATAGGAAAAGAAGGAGACTGTTCGGTCTTCAAAAATAAATTTTCAAAGAGCAAAGAATGCAGAAAAATGAGAATAATTAATTCAAGAAAAAACGGCTAACATAGATTCCCCCCCCTCCCCCCCTGTTCATACGTATACTTGTGTTTTCTGGTCTAAAGGAGAACTATGCCATTTCTTTCTTCAAATTGAATTTCAGAAATTGGAAAATTAAACTGTCTGATCTGAATACAAAGAAATAAACTCTACTTTCTACTAAACTGGGAATTAATATTTAATTAAAAGAAAAACTAAAATATAACACAAGTTGAGTTTATCAGCAGTCTTTTTTTTCGCGGACATTACAAACATTATACAGGCAAAGTTATTTAACCGTTTTAGTTTGTTTTAAAAATATTTCTGTTAAAATTTAAAGTTTAAATCCACGTTTTAAACTTTTTATTAAAAAAAAGAAAAAAGTCACTGCAAGAATTTAAAAAAATGTTTAACTTACTAATAATCCAGAGCTAACCACGAAAAATTAACCTTCTTTGAAGATTTATATTTTTATAATTCCCTGAACTTCTGAAGTTGATTAAAGGGACCCAAAGATGATAATGTACGATTCACAACGGTACCCTAGAATCCTTTATCTGATCAATATCATTGAAGATATTGTCGTTTTTCCAGGTTTCAAAGTTTTCCGTACTGGTGATTCCTATATATTTTCTTGTAGTAGAAATGCGCAAATCACTTTTGCACAGAAAACCCAATCAAAAATAATCAACATCTTATTATGCTTTTTAGGGTACTGTTGTAAATAGGGTCACTTCACTTAATCTAACCCGTGGCCGCAGCGCTCGTCCCAGAAAGTGTCTTAACCTAACCTAAATAAAAAAGGTGTCATAACTTAACCTAACCCGTGGCCGCAGCGCTCGGCCCAGAAAGTATCTTAACTTAACCTAACCCTAAATAATAAAAAAATAAATAATAATAAATTTGCTGAAAAATAAGTGGTCATGTACAAAATTGATAGGAGGTGGTGGTGGCGGGGGTTTCAAAAAATCGTTCTCTAGGACAGACCCTAGGGTCACTTGGGTACCGTTGCATGGAGGATCACTTGAAATTTAATTCTTAATAGAATGGATTTAATAAATAAAAATAAACAACGTGCTCAATCAGACATGTAAATCTTTAAAAGAAGGGGTTACTTGAAAAAACGCTGACAGTCCCTTTAACTAACGGTTTTTATATTGTTCCTTTAAATAACAGAACAATACTGGCTGGTAACAATAATAGTCTTTTGTACACTTTACAGGGCTGTTACAAACATTATTTGAAAAATAGAGGTTGATGAAAAGTATGGGTTGAACTGGAACAATACATTTAAACGGCAAAAATTTATAACTTATAATTTATATATAAAAATATCAACATTTTGGTTAAATTTAAAAGAAAATAAATTGAATATAATTTTTGTCTTCGTTTAACACTTACATAAAAGGAGGACCAAAGGGAGACCATATATCATCCTTGAGCAAGAGCATAAAGTTCGTATTGTCAGGGAGTGTTTGGAAATATTCCTCCTCATCTACCTAGGTGTTGAAAGAAGTGTTTGTGAAAAAGGAAATACGTTATAAATGAACGTGATTTAGGTTCCTAAAAGCTGAAATTACCAATTTATTACCAATTACCAATTTACCAATAATTTTTTCAAGGATTTGTGTGACTCTACATGTAATATAGTTAAAGAGGCAATTTTTCTGAAAACGCACGTTTTTTTAAATCATAAAAATCCGCAAAATAATTTTTATTTTCTTTATATACGTTATACATGGTGTCACTAGGAAACAGTTTATTATTCAAAATATCTTCTAAAACGTATGATCTCTGATCTCATGGTACAAACAATAACCTTGTTTTAAAAAGTTATTTGATTTTTATTATTGTTTGTTCTGAATTAACATAAAAATTTCCTAACTTCAAACTTGAATTAAATTTGACCATGGCAAAGTTTTCTTTGTGATCGGAAATGTCTAGTTTATATTTGTGAAGTTAAAAAACGATTATTGGGTAAAAACTGTGGTATAAACTATAAACTATAAGCATCAATGGATTTCGAAACTTTCCAAAATATGTGAGCAAACATTTCTACAATTGCTCTAAAATATTAAAATGTAAATACGTTTAAAATTAAGGAACTGACTTTTTCAGAGACACCCAGCATACAAAACAAGATCTTTTATTTTTATAATTATAAAAAATGTCTATTTAGTAAAATTTGTTTTTCTTATAATAAAATATTTTTTAGAACATATATGTCCTGAATTACTGTCACATTTTAAAAATTTTCAATACCAATTTAGCCAGATATAGTTTGATTTGTTTAACAATTTTATTATTTTATTTGTGTCATAAGAGCTTAATTTATTTAAAATGTCTTAGTTTTTAGAACTTATTATATATAATAGGACATATTTTTGGCCAAATTGAATTTTTCAACAGGTTTCCTCTGAATGTCTTCTTTTTTAACACAATTATAGCTGAAGGATGGGGGGGGNATTGCGTTCTAAAAGTTCTAAATCTGGTCATTTCTGTGAAAAGTCTTAAATTAGGTTTTTTTTACAGGAATCAGAGACGAAACGAATCTTTGATAACTGGTCGTAAATATATTTATATATCTAAATTATCCTAAATCCGTTTTCTTGAAAAAAGTATACGTTTTTTGCAATATTTACGTCTTCTGTGTACGCATTTGTAACACTGAGCCCAAAACTTAAGAAAGGGTATTGTTATGAAAACCAGTTTTGAAACCCGGGTTTCATTAATGGGGTTAGGCAGCTTTGTGGATATTAATATTTTTGTTATGAAATATTATTTCATTTAATTTCTTCATATTCTCCATTTTTGTTGAATCTCTTAAATCAAAATCTACACAAATGTTAAGACCCCAAAAAGGAAACTCGAGAGTTTCGTTCAACGATACTCTTTTAAATTTCGGACTCTGAGTGTTAGAAATGTGTAAAAATTGAAAGACTGGGTTTTTCGGATCCCATTTCTAATAATCAGTGTTAGAAATGGGCCAAGTGTTAGTTTTGGAACTAATATCCCCTGAAGAATTATTAATTGAAATAATTATAAATCAATGCAAGCTATAACTGATACAATGTTTGTAAATGAAAAGATTTCAGAATACATTTAATTGTTCATTCTCATAATAAAATAAAAGGCAAAGTAAGATTGCGACAAAAAATCCATGACCCCTAAAATACCCCTCTGTGTGAGGGGGGGGGGCTGTTGCGTGGAGAAATGTATTCTGAAAAGGCATTTAGTAGTTAAATATTCTTAAACATGAAAATGTAAACTAAATGATTTCTAAAATTTAATTTAAAAATCCAGCATTTTAAAATTTAATTTTAAATGATTTAATGAGTTTAAAAGTGAATTTAACAAATCCTAAAATTTAATTTGTTTAATTTTCTACATCAAAATGTTTCAGAAACACAATTATAATTTGTTCTTTGTGGGCATATTTTTCACATTTTTTCCTCATTTTTACCCCCCCCCCCCCCATTTGAAAATTTTTATTATAAAATGTTTATGTCGATATATGCCTATATTTTTAATTCAGGTCCGTAGCTAGGAATTTAGAATGGAGTAGACGAACATGCATTACACAAGAGGGGTGTGCCGTAGGTAAACATTTTTTGTCTAAAACCTCAGAAAATGTTAAAATTTAAGAAGATATTATGTATTTGAATAAAAAATAAAATTTGCCTAACATTATTTCTTTCATATGAAGAAATAATGATACAGAATAAATCCTAAAACTTTGTTCAGAATAGATATTATTTTGTCATTAAAGTTAAACTATGGAAACCATAGTGAATAAATGTAAAATAGCCGAAAATTATTTTCCAGGCAAGGAAAATAGCATCAAAAACAATGCACAAGGCTTTAAAAGATAAAACATAAAAATATTCAGTTTTCCAAAAATCTAATTTTATAAAACTACATGTAGTTGGAGTATAACTTCAAAGAAATTCTATCTTTGATTTTTAATTTGTCTCCATAAAGTTACTTTTAGCTTTTTAATTTGAGGAAAATGACCTCTATTACATACTATTGGTGCAAATAATAGGGTTGTTTCTTCACTGTTCAAGATATTTGTAATGTTTACGTGATATCTAACATTTTGTTCGTGATCTCTAACATTTTGTTCATGATATCTATAATTTTGTTCGTAATATCGATCATTATCGAACATTTTGGATCATACTAGAAAAACGCTGTACTCTTAAAACGTTACATAGATAAAACACTACCTCAGAAAACGCTACCTCATAAAACGCTACACTAATAAAACGCTACATTCATAAAACGCTACCAGATAAAACGCTAGTAAAGGAAAAACGCTACTCTATCAAAATATCATAATAATAAGAGTTCACTTTTAATCAAAGCTTATAAATTCATGTAGGAATGCTAACGTTTTCCATTTTTTTGAAAAACGATCGTTTCGTAATGAAAACGACGACAAAAAACAAAAACGAAACGATCGTTGTTAGTACGTGTTTTAAAAACGGTCTTTTTCAAAACGATAGTTTTTCAAAATGATCGTTTTTATAAAGCTCGTCGCCTTGTTAACTATCGTTAACGGAGAGAGGAACCCGCCCTGAAGGGCATCTGTACTTTTCATTGAGCAGTTTTAAAGAAAATATTCGACAAAGTTGCATTTAATTATTTTAAATTATCGTTTTTTAAAAGAATTCTTCGTTTTGTTAACGATCGTTAACGACAACCCTTCATTGACGATCTTTTTAAAAAACGATCATAAAGAAACGATCGTTGATCGTTTCAAAAAACGATCGTTTTTAAAAACGATCATTATTTGTTTTCTAAAAGATCAAAACGAGTGGGTCATTTTTAAAAACGATATTTTTTCCTAAAACGAAACGATTGTTTTTGAAAAACGAAACAAAAAACGATTAACAACCTAACTGCATGCAGTATACATATAGTTTGTGGTAAGGGTTGAGTTGGAAAGGGATTAAATTAATCTTCAATAAAATTTCAATACTCAAACCAGTTTTATTTGATCTCAACCACCATCATGATATATTGTATCTTAATTATCATTTTGCAATTATCCAACGTATTCTCAATTCCACAATTAGAGGAACATGAGTTATTAAAGAAAACCATTGAAGTTTCTAGAACAGTTTCTATTGAAAACGTGAAGACGAAAGTTAGTGTTTAGGAAAAGATTTAGGAAAAAGAGGAGTATCGGAAGACGGGACAAACTGAATTACAGGTATTATAAAATATTATATTGGTAATTTTTCAGTCAAAGGTTTAATACAATAATAACTTTAAAACTTTAGAGTTAATTTAAATATACAATGTCTTGTTAAGATTGTTTGATAAAGGGACTATAGATTTATGAGTGTAGCGTTTTAAGAGGTACACCACATTTTCTTCGTGATAGCTATAATCTTGTTTGTGATATATAACATTTTGTTCTTGATATATAACATTTTGATCGACATATCTAACATTTTGATCGACATATCTAACATTTTGTTCCTGATATCTATAATTTTGTTCGTGATATATTCGTATAATTTCTTTCTTAATTTCGAACAATATGATCGTACATAGCACATAAATTTCACTAGAAGGGGATCATTCATTTGGCGTACAGTCCCGTTTTGCCCAATATCGTCAGTATTTGTACTGTACTGCATGCCCTAGCTAGTAAAAATTCGGCCCTGTACATGAAATGAACTGTAATGTAACGTGAAAGTTCCAATATGGTTCTTTTAAAACATATAAATAAATATCATTTACAACTCACAATGGTATCGACATTTGACAATTTCATTAATATAAATAAAAATAAACAATTTGTAAATTTTACAGAAAAGTTCATTAGATGTAAAAGATTCTAATCTAACGTCTTTAGCGGTTGGAGCTGTTGTTTTGATTAACCAAAGAAGTGTGAATATATTTTAATCGTTAATTGCTCTGATAAGTGATAATCAATATTCATTTTAAAGTTTTGAATATCATTATGATCAATTACAATTCAAACTTAATAATAATCTTATAAGTCGTTACCAATCCGGAACTTATTGCATGAAAAAGTATTGAAATCTAATTGGACTGTAGACTATATATTCTAATTTAGAGATCCTTTATGTCCAATTCACAACAGTACTCTTAAAACAGTTATCAAGGATTTACGAGTAATCCATATTTTTCTCAGATAAAATTTCCAATGTTGTTTCTATTATCAATTGACGTAATATTACGTCTTCAAGCAAAAACATATCAGATGTTTTATTTTTATAACAAATGTTACGTTATGTTATGCTTATATCAAATGTTTTATATCAAAACTAATAATATATCTGAATTTGGAAGTAAGAAAAATTTGATATCGGCCGTTGAAAGAGTACGAGTCAGTTGATGTTCTCGGATTAAGTTTCGGATTAAGCGCTATCTTGTTCAAAAATTCCGATCTCCGGAAACGTTTATTTATTCAATATCAAAGCTAAGAAATTTGTCATTTTAAAAAATATTTATTTAATTTTTAAAACAAAATATTCAAACATTAACTTCCTTTAAAACAAAAAAATGTTTCAAACATTTTTTCAATCTTGTCTAGTAATCTCTCAATTCACTGCAAACCAAATGTGCACGTTCTTACGTAAAAATGAAGTATTAGTATTTTACTCTTTTTTTCTTGTAAACTTAAACTAGGAACAAGCGCGTTGGAATTTTAAAATGTTTATACCTAGGGCTACAAAAAGTATTAGTAGGGGGTGAGGTTAAACAAAAGACCAAAACGTTGGGAAACTTTAAAGCCGAGGTTGTGTAAAAAATTTGATAAAAACTTTCAGAGTTGTTTATATCTCTGTGAATTAATAGAATATTATTTTTTATTGTGATTATGAATCAGGAAACGTCATGATCAATTTGATTCATTAATAAAAACAAAAAAATGATAGAAAACAGCAAAAATCCGTCTAATAATATTTATTAAAGGAAAATATTTTGCACACATCAAAACTAACATTTTCAAAAATAAACTTGATTTTAATATTGTTTTTTTTCAAGATTCCAATATTAATCCTTTAAAATTGTTTTCACAAAATAATCCTTATATTTCATATTCAGCGCAATATATCAAATATTAGAACACAGTTTTATAATATCATAATATTTAATATTAAATCTTGGAGATACATTCCCCCTCCCCCTTAAAATTAGCACCCCCCCCCCACTCCCCAACTCCT